GGACCAATTGAGATAAAATCAAATGTTCAATTTTTACAATATCCAATGCTTAAGGTTTTAATCTCTTACGTCTTAGATAATGACTGTAACAAACGTGTGTATGTTATAACATTTTCGTAATTATCTGAAAGTTCCGATTTCCGAACTTCATTGTAAATGCAAACATAAGGAAATAAGGAAAAATGGTTGTAACCTACTCGAAGTATAGGGTAATATGTAGAAAATTACCCGGAATATAAAAATGTGCTTTAAACTACATCAACTTATAAAAATGTGCTTTAAACTACACGAAGTATGAAAAAACATGTTGCAAACAACATATTGGGTTTTTAAAGCTTAAAACGTGATTTTGGGGTCAAATTGTAATTAAATTTTCTTAAACCCGATTTAATCAAATATCCAACCCTGTCAATCACTTAACCCGACCCGGTTCAGTTTATCATTTTAACTGGACCATATTAATTTGATCCAACATTTTTCTAGAACACAAAAACGAAGACATATATACAAATGACGTGACTTATGTGGAAACAAAGCAAACAATATAACTTATAGTTGATTAAAATATCAAAATATCGTTTCCACATAATTCACGACATTTGTATATATGTCTTCGTTTTTGTGTTTTAGAAAAATGTTGGGTCAAATTAATATGGTCCTGTTAAAATGATATACTGAACCGGGTCGGATTAAGTGATTGATATGGTCAAATATTTGATTAAATCGGGTTTAAGAAAAATTTAATTACAATTTGACCCCAAAATCACGTTTTAAGCTTTAAAAATTGTTCGCAACATGTTTTTTCATATTTCGTGTAATTTAAAACACATTTTTATAAGTTGGTGTAGTTTAAAACACATTTTATACTTCATGTAGTTTTCTACATATTACTCCATACTTCGGATAGGTTACAACCATTTTCCCAAGAAATAACTGTTGACTTAGCCTTTAGAATATTATACTCATGTTTTCATGTCATAATCTATATAGCCGGTCTTGACCAAGATAGATGTATAGATTTAAACCAAAATAAACAGAACCGAGAGAAAGAATTCTTATGTCCGGTCTCGAAAGTGAAATGAGCAAACATGGCAGCAATTTCACTCCTAGTTACCGAATTAGCAAAGTTGGGGAAAGTATTGGTGGCATTAATGAAAGAGTCACGGGTGTAGAATCTTTTTCCGATGCAGCCATTACCGGCTTGGTTGATAATACCGTTAAAGAAACATTGTGTCACAATGCTACCGACCAAATCAGCACCGGTTGGGGTTGCACTGGCTCTACAAGGACCTAACCAGCATGTAGGACCACAGTGAGCGTCGGTGGTACCACAATAACCGAACTAATTGCAGCAGAGGTTTGGTGCGCAATTGCAGTTTTGATACTTGACGGTTTCATAGTAGAAACCTAGGAGGCAGAGGAGAAGGATTAAATAGTTTTTTGTGAGAGCCATTTTGGGTTGTTGTTAGAAGAAGAGAAGAGTTTGTGAGGTTGTATAAGAGATTTTGGGTAGATTAGTCATTTCAGTGGGATGGACAATCAATGGTGGGTTTTTTTAATTGTTTTTTCTTTCAATTATTTAACAAAGGCTTTGACTGTTAGCCTGCGGGAGATTATTATTATATATGGTCTAGCAATTGAATTTCCTTTTTCAAATAAAACAATTTTGGCATAGAAAAACTAGTAGATTAGTGATTTGTATTAATGTTAATTAGAGTGAGTTTAACACTTCTTAATCTTCGGTAGCCTAATCAAACAATGAGTACAAATCTGGTGGCTTTTTTTTGTTCCTTACGGTAGACTATTGTTGGTTATTATTTAGGATTATATTCTTATGAGAAATCCTATTCTTATCAACCAAAAAAATATAAATAAGGAGTAGCTTTTGAAGTAAACATTTGGAAATTGTCGACGGCTGGGAGCATCGAACCTGAGAAATTTATTGCAAAACTGACCACTCAATCCAAAAAAAAATTAAAATTTTTGAATGTTACGTACCTAAATAGCCACAATAATACAAACCGAGTCCTCAATATCAGTTGCCTCTTGAGCATTTCCTAAAAGTCGACCCTAAGAAGAAGTTTGACGTCGCATATATTTCATGATAAATCTTTGAACAATATAAGTTTTGCCATGATTATGACATTTCAACGTTGAAATTTACAATTACTTGCAATAAATAGAGTAGTTATATATTGTCTTATTCTTTTTTAAACTTGTCCATTTTTAAATATCTGTTGAAAATTATAGTTTTTTTTTACTAATATATGTTTAAAAAATTTCAGGCATATAATCCATCATTATCATACGAAGATTTCTCAAACTTTAATCTTTCTTTTTTTAACAACTCTTAAAATTTAATATTTTCCAAGAAATAGTAGCAAAGAATAGAATAAATACATGATAATAAACACATTAAAGGCATTATTCTTTTGTATCCAAAAATACGGCATAATCAATAATTCAAGAAAATGCCATAGAATTTTTTGTTTGAAAGAGTTCCCAAACTCTTAGAAATCAGTAGTATGGAATATTTTTAAAGAGTTCCCAAATTATTAAAACCTTTTATAATTTTTCATGATGGTATGTGATATTCTTAAGGATATAGTACTCAAAAACAATTATAAAATATGATGCCGTAAGGAATTTTTCTATATTTTATCAATTGTTTAATATTCTCTCCGTTTTTTAGTATAAGATGTTTTACAAGTTTTTTTGGTTTCATAATATAAGATATTTTTAGATTTTCATGTAACTTTTACTTTTATTGAATATTGTGTAACCAATAGTATTATGCAGTTTTTTTCTTAATTGATTGAATTGTTTGTATTTTATATATTAAATAATTCTATTTAAAATAAAAGTTTTTTCTTAAATTTTTTGTTTTTAAGCCAAAACATCATATATTAAGAATCGGAAAGAATAGTATTTCTCAAAGCCGCCCTAAAATAAATTCACACATGTCTTAATAAATTTTGGTACCATGTGAACCATTGAGTCCATTATCCGGGTATTCAGCGTATATGAACCTCTAATCCTAATTCCAGATAATAATATTGGAATGAAAGTAGTAGAGGGGCTGCTATAGTACGGTGGATCTCTTACCCCTTAGTTTCGGTCATTGCGTCATTGGCCTAACTTAGAGGGGCTGCTATAGTACGGTGGATCTCTTACCCTTTAGTTTCGGTCATTGCGTCATTGGCCTAACAATGAATGTCTCCTAGTACCAATCAATAGATATATCTTATTGTTAAAAAAAAAAAAACAAATAAAGATAATTATAGTTGAATCAGCAAGACTAGTCAATTGCAATTGAAGCATGAACAATGGAACGTTAGGCATGTGATCTTATCCTCCCTACACATTGTCCTATTGTACCCCCATATTTAGATGGGTAACACAAAGTTTTATCTATTAATAGCGCGAAACTAAATGTGTTTTTTATATAATTAATCGGGATACTTTTTTCATTTAAGCCATCCATTTCATAAGAACACCATTTTTGACAAAATATGATTGAAATCAAGTCATAGTTCCGAATTCTATGATGGATCTTTCAATCACACTATACCATCACAAACTAGTTAAGAAAATTTAGTTAACGATACCAATTTTTCATAAATAAACAAACTATCGTTTATCATGTTGTATTGGTTTATTCTGGTTTTAAGTCTGACATGCAGGTCATATTACATCAAATGTTTGTGAGGGCTGGGCATGTAAATATTTGAAACATGTAAGACACACCAATTATAGTAGATCGAAAAAATGCTTTCGAGTTTCCACAATGTTGACAAGATTCCATAATCGAGTTTCCCTTTTTAGTTTTGGGGTCGAGAATCGAGAATCGAGAATCGAGTTTCCTTTAAGTAAACATTTTGGGAGAACTTTTTTGGTTTTTTTTGCTAAATGAAAATACCAATTCATGGGAATATCCTAAAAGCATATATAATGTGAATGTCAGAATCAGAGACTTATTAATCTTAAATTCACGTTCACAAGACGTGGCACAAAATAAAATAAAATCACTTTCACAAGTTTATTACAACAATTTTTGCTTGTGAAGCAGGGAACACTATAAGACCCAACACAAAAGTACGTTCGTGAAATTTATTAACTTTATTATCTCATCTTAAACAGCAACTAATTCACACATCACGTGCCACGTCCCGTGTGCGTTTAAATAGCTTTTTAGCAGCTAAGGTTACCACCAGGGTCCACTCCAAGCTGTCCACAATAGTCTCTATAGTACCTGATCCTTGCATTGACCGCACCTGAATTCCCACCGTTACACTCCATACCATTGATGGCTCTAATAGTGGCTCCAAATCCTTGGTTCAGTACCGGCCTTACGCTATTCATCCAAAACCACAGACCGGTCCTGAAAGCCACAGTTGGGTTGCTACCTACTAGCTCGGGCTGGCGAAGGAGGTCAAGGCTAAGACTCTGACCACACGCTCCGTAGTTGTAGTTCCATGATAGCTGGATCGGACCACGACCGAAATAGCCTTTGCCCGGTTGACATGGGTATTGCCTGTTGTTCTGGTCGCAGTAGTTATGTGACGCTCCGTTTATTTCTTCTATATAGCAGAAGTCTATACGATATAGATAAACAAAGTAATTGATAATCAGCTCAATCAATTGAGATAAAGTCAGACATTCTTTTTTTTATTATACGGAATGTGTTTTTTTTTTTAAACTATTATACCGAATGTTTAATCTTCTAATCATTGCAATCCTTAGGGTTTGAGAGATTTACTCATTTTTATGTTATAGTTTACTAAAAGTTAGAATTGCTCATGACTTAGAGTAGATATAC